CTACACCTGTACTTGTACTAATCACACTGGAAGAAATTGTGAAATCAATATGGTATGAATAAAAGCAATAACCATAAAAATACGTTTTATAATAARATCATTGCTAATTTATTCATATCTTCAATGGGTATCAGTGTTCTCCAAATCCTTGTCAAAATGGCGGACGATGTAACGTAAAAGATGAGRGAGCYAACTACACATGTACTTGCACTAAYCAATACTTTACTGGAAGGAAYTGTGAGACCAACATACTGGTAGGAATGATAATAATAGTCATCCTGCAAAAGCAGGATATAATTATACATTTGTATAGTATACTTATAAAACATCATGAACGTTCTCTATAATAGTCGTTTATTCCTTTTACTAGTAAACAGTTTTCACAAGTTTCGAACGCATTCGTRTGAAACGTACATGGTTCCTACAAAAATTACGATAATAAATTACAACGATAAACTAGCTAAATACTTGAAAAAACGTCGACGAAAAACTATACTTACAAAACGATGTGTGTGCTCAGACGGTAAACGGTAAAAGAGGACGATTATGCAAATGTAAATGATTTTAACTTAACTACAATACACTAGGGACTAACGTGACGTGACAAACTAAATACATATAACAAAGAAAACAAAAGTTATTCTATCGCCGTTACATTCTCTTTTTAATAGTGCATGCCGAATCCCTGTCAAAATGGTGGACTATGTTCCTTGAAAGATGGAGGAACAAACTACACCTGTACTTGTGTTGGTCACACTGGAAGAAATTGTGAGATCAATATGGTAGGCATAGCATCGAAAAGATTTGTTGTATTTTGCTCTAAYTAATCAATACTATCATACCATTTACAGTGTGATCCAAACCCTTGCCAAAATGGCGGACAATGTACCGTGAAAGATGGAGGAACAAACTACACCTGTACTTGTGTTGGTCACACTGGAAGAAATTGTGAGATCAATATGGTAGGAATTTTAAAAAGTAAGTACATTTATCATTATTAATTTTCATTAGTTTGCAATTTTTTTATTTCTTGAAGTGCTCACCAAATCCCTGTAAAAATGGCGGCYWATGTACTGTGAAAGATGGAGGGACTAACTATTCTTGTTCCTGCCGCACGGGTTACATTGGAATTAATTGTGAAATTAAGGTGATTATGTTTGCTATTCTTTCTGGCTAGAGCTTGATTTTATCGTCAAACGTCAAGCAAAAACTGTATTGCTTTTTTTTCAGATACCCTCTTTGTCGACGAGCAGTCGTAGAAGAAGGCGCCGAGTGATTGGATAACGTGTCAGTGACACTAGTGAAAAACGCACTGCACATGTCCACAGCTTTCCCGCAAGTGAGCGCGCGCGTCTTGAAATCTGTAAACAGAGCGCCTGTAGAGCGCCTGCCGATTTACAGCGAAAACATAGAAAACACTACGAAAAACCTCATTTTCTCAAAATATAAATGACAAGATAAAAATAGAAACTACATAAAGAACCTATCATGAACAAAAATTGACGGAAATATGAATCTTGCATATCGTTTAATGAGCGTATAAATTGTAAAAAAACTTTCACAAAAATCTCCAGGCGCTCTGTTTACAATAGGCAGATTTCAAGACGCGCGTGCTCACTAGCGGGAAAACTGTGGACATGCGCAGTGCGTTTTACACCATTGCCCGTGTCAGTATGTAGATAAAGCAGATTCGAAAAGTCTAAAATTTTTGGATCACACGCCAACGCACAGTTAGCGATGAGACTRAACAATGTCATTTAATCAAAAATCTTCTCATAAATCAAATAAAATACATCTTGAGAAATTAAAAATACAATCACAATAAATCACAGTTTTATGAATTGTACAAATTTAACAGTGCCAGACGCTCTTGATAACTGGGCTCCCCTCCCTCCCCCCAACACTATTACAGATGACATGAGGTTGTATATATTAATGAGTAGGGACAGCACAAAAGGAGGCTAAAGAATTAAAACCCTTTTGATGCAGCGAGTGAATTAATTGCGTCTTTTGGAAGACTGCTTTTTCCAGCTAGACACAAGACCCCTTTTGTGATGTTCCCTCTCTAATGTATAATATTGATATCAGAGTAGTGTTTAAGGCCGCGATAACGGATGTCTTTTTGTCTAATCCCTGGATGTGCACATTCCAAGATAGATTCTCGTCAAGGGATTTCGCGTGAGACASCTGCTGCTTAACAGACTCACCAATAATCATCGGGCTAACGGTGGATTGAAGTGTGCACAGTCTTTGCTCATCCTCGGGAACCCAGGGGTAATCTTCTGTCGTTCGTTCCTCACTCCCAGAAAAAATACCCCTGGGCACGAAGTCTATTAGACCTTGTTCTCAATTCAAAATTCAAAATGAAGCTTACATTTCAAACAAGTTGTTGTAGCCCGTCCCTACATCCACTGGAAAAAAATCGCGCACTTTAAAGGTGGTAAATTTTGATGTAAGGGACGGTCCATTTAACTTTTGAGGGGTGGGGGTTGGATGATTTTGAAAAAAACAAATCCTGTAAGCCATCTTCACCAAAAATAAAAATCATGCACAACATATGGACCTAAAAATAAATCTTGCACCACCCTAAGCCCCAAAAAATGTTACATACAAGAAGAAAAAAAATCCTACACACCACCAAGAGAAAAAATATATATCCTACCCAAAAGCCACGAAGAAGAAAAAAATCTTGCTCACAAGAAATCATCCACCCCCCCCCCCCCCCCCCCCCCCCCCACCCCCTCAAAAGTTAAATGGACCGTCATTAAATATGATGTCAGTGTCCGGCCAAAATGATGTAAATTTGCAGTAAATGATTTACATCAAATTTCAACATTTTGGACAATTACATCATACTTACATCAAATTTACAACCTTTAAAGTGCGCGTATTTTTCCAGTGTCTTTCCTCAGCGTTTTATTTTTTTGCTGTAACCCCTCCAAAAAAATGTTCATAAACTATTAAACCATCTTTATTACTACATAAGAACAGATATACTTCTCCCAGGAACCCGTCGGCTCCTCCTGATGTTTGAACGCTGGAAAAATTCACCTTTGTAAACAATATAAAACTGTATTTTCTTTCATGACGCAAGAAGTATATATTTAACTCCGATCTCCCCACAGAAGAAAGCTAATGACGATTATTAATGTTTAATTATAAACTCTTTAAAGGATGCTATTCACAATTTAAGTGATTACTGGCGAAGACATCGAGAGCCATGACACCGGAGAAACTTCTTTCAATTTTGCTAATTTGCCTTTTCAAAATGGCATACTCTGTGCTTAATCGTGATAAATATGGAGAAGTTAAAGTTCGAAACTTTTTTAAARGGCAAGAAGGAAAAGTCTTCTCTAAACCCGGCAGTCTGTTGTCCAACCAAACAACCAAGAGCACTAAAGAATGCTGCTTCRAGTGCGTACAAAACAAGGAATGCTTGTCGGTGAATACCATTGCTTTGGATCTATCGCGATGTCAATGTGAGCTTCTTAACTGGGCAGGGACGGGATTTGAAAATCACCTTGTACCAAAAGCCAATTCGCAGTTTATGCAGCTGAATGTATGAGATACTTGTTTTAACAGTCAACTGATTTTACATGAAATGAATGTGTAAAATCACCAACGAGATCTAGTTGAAAATTAAGGAATAATTGTTTATATATGAATTACTCACAATTAATTTCAGGCACAAAATATTTGCCAAATATTATGCCAAACAAAACTTTGGTCAATGCTTTAATACTGGTCCAAAAACCAATTAAATCGGTGCATGGAAAGATTTTCAAAAAACGAATTTAAAATGAGAGTTATAGTCGAAAACCAACTATAGGAAGCCACCTTAATTGAAGCTTAAAATGAGCTAGCCTGCGTACATCCGATTTATTACCAAAATTAACCGTCTGCGCAACACTGCACGATATCGTGTTCTGGGACCCCCAGCATACGATTTGCTACCTGATGACGATTGATTGTTTTAATGGTGTTCCTGATTGGCCAAAAGTAGTTTGTCCGTTGTTTTAAACGCGTATGAGAAATAGCGATTTACAAGCTGAAAACTTCTAACTCTCATGTTCTTAAATAATTTAAATAATTTAAAATTATTTTTTCTCTGAATTGGAGTACATGTTAAAACAGGCAGAGCTGAACCACAACAGAGCGAATGAAGAATTGCTGTTGTACTTGAGAATGTGTATATATCTCCATCCTAAAAGTTCTCATGGATGAACTGTTTTGCCGTGTCGACTGATTCTAGTTTGGCCTATATTTCTTTTATCATACTTATAAATAAACAACATCATTAACCGAAATCGGAACGACTTGCAAATAATATAAAATTTCCTCTCAGGTTGCTAACAATAGACTCAAAATTCACATTGAAKTGTTACCCTGATTTCCTTAGATAGATAGTTTAGTTTTATTTTAACGATAATGATAATCTTTATTGAAAAATATCTCTAATATGTAAATTTACAATATTCAAATATCAAATTTTTCTACCTTTTTCTACAATATAATATAATTAGTGGTTGATCTCTATTATTAATAAAAATATTCCCAAAAAATATAAACAAGAATACATAAATGTGTAAAAATATTTATGAAATGGCTGCTTGCAAGTTTTCTGCATCAGTGTTTACATTAATAAAGTTAGGCAGATTAGGGCAGATCTCAATAAAGCAAATGATGCTTTGGCCCTTATCCATGAGATAGTCTTTGAATAATAGCGCTCCGCACAGTTACTAAAAATAGATACCTTAATATGCTATGGACTCAGACATTGAAACCAAACACGCCATACAAACACACCAAAAAACCACTGATTTCATCGAGAAATATCTTCAATTATATTCGTACTAGAAGCTTTTAAGCATAACGATTATGTCGAGTAAGCACTACTGCTTCATTGGACCATGGAATATCATCTGTAAATGCCCTGAATGTCTCGCAGATCCGCCTATCGTCTT